TATATATATATATATATATATGTGTGTGTGTGTGTGTGTGTGTGTGTGAATTTATTGATGCAAATCTTTTTATTTTATGGATATTTCCTCAATAAGGCCATGATTTAACAACTTGTACCAACCCTATGAATTATTGTTGTTGTTGTATGAAGACATTTTGTTCTTGGTGAGTTACTCTTTACTGTTTTAATGGCTCTTCATTTTTCTTATGTTTCTATTATTCATACTTTGGTAGCAGGTGTTATGAAGCATTCTGGACTACTGTCCATTGTGGAACATCTGGAGATGACCCTTGTCATTAAACTAACAAAATATATCATGTTTCACCAGAATGATCCAGTACTTACTGAACATCTTCACATAGTAAAAATCTAAAAGGATCATGTTCCACCAGAATGATCCAGTACTTAATGTACATCTTCACACATTAAAAATCTAAAAGGATCATGTTCCACCAGAATGATCTAGTACCAACTGTACATCTTCACACAGTAAAAAACTAAAAGGATCATGTTCCACCAGAATGATCCAGTACTTACTGTAAGTCTTCACACAGTAAAAACCTAAAAGGATCATGTTCCACCAGAATGATCCAGTACTTACTGTACATCTTCACACAGTAAAAATTAAAAGGATCATGTTCCACCAGAATGATCCAGTACTTTAATATGTTATCAACTGTTGATGGTGGTTTGGGGTCCATGTATAGAAAAAAGACACAGTGACTTATGAAAATTCCACATCAATAGCCAAACTCACTACAGAAAAATATTTATACCCCACTAATGATATACTTCCAGTTTCATTAAACTCCATTTATAACGACCTTCTGCTTTCTTCCATCTAGTCAGATTTTTATCCAATGATCTAGCCTATCTTCCACACCTACAGATATAATGTTTTAAACAAGTTTTTTAAGTGGAACCTTGTCAAATGCTTTTTGAAAATCTTAATACACCAAATCCACACTCATACCCTCTGTGCATAAGAGGTAACCTCTTCAAAGAATGTCAAAAGATTATTGAGGCAAGGTTTTCCCTTAATGAAACCATGCTGACTAGCCTATACAATCTTAAACTTTGGTAAAAGTATTTTTTATCAGATTAAAAAAAAAATTCCCACCACTGACGTAAGACTAATTGACTAATAATTATCGAGATGATTTTTATCACTTCCCTTGAAAAGAGGAGTAACATTAACCAACTTCTAATCTTCTGGCACTTAACCACTATTCAAGGACCTAAAACAAATAGTTGCAAGTGGTTCACATATCAAATACTTGGGTAAATATATCTGGTCCAGGAGACTTATAATTATTTGATATTCCCAGTTTCTTCTTTACAAGCCCAAAATTAATGTGATCTTCTTCAGTCTTGTTTCCATCAATCAACTGTTGAGGATGAGGGATATTACTTAAATCTTCATTAGTGAAAACTGAAGAAAATGTAGAGTTTGATAACCCAGACATCCCATAATCATCAAATATTAGCTTTCCTCTGAAGGTCCTACTTCCATCCTATTCTGCTTACCCTTAATATATTTGAAGAAATTCTTATTATTAATTTTTACCTTTCACTAAACATTATTTTTAAATATATATATTTTTTAATTTCCCATTTGATTTTCTGTATTCCTCCAACATCTCCCACAATTACAGCTGGATTAAGCTTCAAGCATGATTTTATTTAATTGTATTCTTTATACACTTCTGAGACACCCTGACTTTTTACTTGCAGCCTCTGTTTTGAAAATAAGGAACATGCTTATTTTGGATATTTAATAAATTATCTTTAAAATTGTCCACATTTAACCAGTATCTCCAGTTAACTCAGTTTACAGAAGAGAATTCTTATCTCACAACTTCAAAATCTGCTCTTTGGAAACTTGGAACCAAAATCTCCTTATTCCTTATCTCCATATGCAGAAAATGAGTGTTATAGGTTAAGCATCTAAACTGTCTTAATTGATACTGAACTTAATTACCAATAGTAATAATAACTGTTACTACAACAGTACTATAATTACTGTATAGTATTACTTATTATTAAGCCTTTATTTATTGTCGTGTGATACATTGCTTTTGCACTACAGCGGCATCTGTCGGAGCTCCGAACTTTTAAGTATGGAGCATTAACTTATGATTACAGTAGAATATATACACCTGGAAAAAAGTTAAGCACCCCCGTGTTT